ATTTTAAAGTGCTGAGCAAACTGTTGGCGCGATATAAATCCTGTATAATAATTATATATAAATCCTGTATAATAATTATATATAAATCCTGTATAATAATAATAACTAACAAACATGTTATACTTACCTGCTCTATGTAATGGTTTTGCACAGAGCAGCCCCGATCCTCGTCTTCTCGGGTCCCCCGCAGGCGCCCGATGTTAAGTTAACAACACCCCCAAAAGCGGTCCGCAAAACGCGGTGCGATGTGCAGAATCGGATCGCATATGTGTGTGAATACCCATGCGATCCGATTTTAGTGCAGAACCAAAAAAGGATCCTGCACCTTTTTTATGCATTGCGGTGCGAATAGAGGCATACAAAATGTACGGCTCCAGACGCACCGCACACAAATCGCATGTGATGTACCACACAGCATATATGTGAACCCGGGCTCAAGGTTAAGTGGTTGTAAAGGCTGAAGGTTTTTTTCACCTTTATGCATTCTACACATGAAGGTAAGAAACCTGTTTTTCTCTCTCCAGCACCCCTAATACTCATCCGAGTCCCATCTCGATCCAGACATGTGCACAGGTGCTGTCCCGTGTCCAGGGGCGGACTGACAACTAATGGGGTCCCCGGGCAATAGGGGATCATGGGGCCCCTGTGTCCTTGCCCAAACTCAAAAAAGCCTATGAAAAAGGTACCAGGGGCATCTCATGGGGCCCCCTACTGACCCCGGGCCCTCGGGCAGTGCCCGAGTTTCCAAATGGTCAGTCCGCCCCTGCCTGTGTCTCTATCTCCTCATTGGCTGAGACAGCAGCGGAAGCCATTGACTGTCAATCACTGCCAGTGGGCCAATGAGGAAAGAGCGGGGGCAGAGCCTAATCGCGGCTCTATGCGTCTTACCGATGTATAGAGCGGGGCTCAGGAGCGAGCACGCACCAGTGCCCCCATAGCAAGCGGCTTGCTATTGGGGGCACTGGTCAAGGAGCCAGGAGCACCGGTGGGGAATCCGAGAAGAGGAGGATCGAGGCTGCTGTGTCCAAAATCATTACACAGAGCAGGTAAGAAAAAAAAAATCAAACCTTTAATATTACTTTAGATCCTTGGTAATTAAAGGGTTAAAAAAGGCAAAGAAATTGTTTCAATGTATGCTTTCATTTGCATTTTACGCATTTACAGGGCTACTACACAATGCAAAACCAGACAATTGTCTCACGTGTGACTTTAATGCAGCCATGACACCATGAATACATAAGATATGTTTTTATTGATACAAAATTGCTTATAAAACAGATAACAAATGGGCCACTGGGCCCTATTCTACAATAAATAATTGTAATAAATAAATAAATAAATAAATAATCCCCGACGTGTTTCAATTGCATATAATATAATCTTCATCAGGGGGAGTTTATACAAAGATACCTGTAAGGTAGAACACATCAGAGTAGTCATACAACTCAGATTTAGAAGCTTCACAATACATATAAAACATAATAATTCAACTACAAGACTTACATATATAGACAGAAATCAAGAAAGGTCATTAGAAGGTTGGACTGGGAGCCCCCACACACCCAATGGATAGACACCCAACCCCCAGGGAGCCAGAAAAAGCTACCCCAGGCACGGCAGATGGGGGTCTGTTCAGCAGCCAGTACTATATATAAACAAAATAACAATAAATAATAAATCATAGCATTGTCACCAAAAACATAAAATATATAGAGTATAGATGTAAACTAGGGAAATCAAACCATTCATCCACCCTATATGGTATAGTTCCCGATGACAATGGGTGCAGGAGAGGGAAAGGGGCATTCAATCCTGGAGAGCCCATCCTGGATGACTTGATATACACTATATTGTCAAAAGTATTGGGACATCCCTCCAAATCATGTGATTCAGGTGTTCCAATCCCCTCCATGGCCACAAGTGTATACAATCAAGCCCCTAGGCATGCAGACTGCTTCTACAAACATTGGTGAAAGAATGGGTCGCTCTCAGGAGCTCAGTGACTCCAAGCGTGGTCCCGTGATAGGTGGTCACCTGTGCAATAAGTCCATCCGTGACATTTCCTGGCTACTAAATATTCCACGCTCAACTGTTAGTGGGATTATAACAAAGTGGAAGCAACTGGGAACAGCAACTCAGCCCCCAAGTGGTAGGCCACGTCACATGACAGGGCGGGGTCAGCGCATGCTGAAGTGCACAGTGCGCAGAAGTCACCAACTGTCTGCAGAGTCAATAGCTTAAGACCTCCAAACTTGGTGTGGCCTTCAGATGAGCCCAACAACAGTGTGTAGAGAGCTTCATGGAATGGGCTTCCATGGCTGAGCAGCTGCATCCAAGCCTTACATCACCAAGTGCAATGCAAAGCGTCGGATGCCGTGGTGTAATGCACGCCGCCACTGGACTCTAGAGCAGTGGAGGCGTGTTCTCTGGAGGGACCAATCACACTTCTCTGTCTGGAAATCCGATGGACTTGTCTGGGTTTGACGGTTGCCAGGAGAACGGTACTTGCCTGACTGCATTGTGCCAAGTGTAGAGTTTAGTGGAGGGGGGATTATGGTGTGGGGTTGTTTTTCAGGGGTTGGGCTTGGCCCCCTAGTTCCAGTAAAGGGAACTCTTAAGGCGTCAGCATACCAAGACATTTTGGACAATTTCATGCTCCCAACTTTGTGGGAAGAGTTTAGGGTTGGCCCCTCCCTGTTCCAACATGACTGTGCACCAGTGCGCAAAGCAAGGTCCATAAAGACATGGAGGAGCCAGTTTGGGGTGGAGGAACTTGACTGTCCTGCACAGAGTCCTGACCTCAACCCCATAGAACACCATTGGGATGAATTAGAGATGAGACTGTGAGCCAGGCCTCCTCCCCCGACATCAGTGCCTGACCTCACAAATGTGCTTCTGGAAGAATGGTCCAACCTTCCCATAGACACCCTCCTAAACCTTGTGGATGGCCTTCCCAGAAGAGTTGAATCTGTTATAGCTGCAAAGGCCAACTCAATATTGAACCCTACAGACTAAGACTGGGGGGCCATTACAGTTCATGTGTGTGCAGGGGTGGATTGACAACTCATGGGGCCCCCGGGCAATAGGGGATCATGGGGCCCCTGTGTCCTTGCCCAAACTCAAAAGAGCCTATGAAAAAGGTACCAGGGGCCCCTACTGACCCCGGGCCCTCGGGCAGTGCCCGAGTTTCCAAATGGTCAGTCCGCCCCTGTTTGTGTGTAAATGCAGGCACCCAGTACTTTTGGCAATATAGTGTAGATAGAATAGATATATAATGATGAAAATCTATAAAAAGTATAAAAGAGTATAGTTCTATGAAGGGTGTCTGGATTGCCAACACAATTCAAAGAGATCAAACAAGGTCAAAGTCGTTCCTGGCGAAAATCTAAAAAGACAAAATTGTTTCCTGTTTGTACCGTTCTCTGTGCCATCTCCTTTTTTTCCACTAGAAATCCTCAGGGTCTGTTTTTACTCTGTATTCTTCAGTGGAATTTATTTACTGTTTTATTACTTTAAAAAAGCTACTACTCGCCTGAGATTACACATAAGGAGCAATGCAGTCCACTGATTTTGAACATCGTGCAAAAAATGTAACGGTCTGAACACCGTATCCGGAATGCAGGAAAGGCCCCCGCCCCAGCGTACAGCGATTGGGCAACGTCCCGTGTTTTCAAACCACGGATGATTTCACCCTTATTATCCCACCAAACTAAACAGAATCACTTCTGACCTTTGGAGGTGTTGAGTGATAATTCCCCCAAAAAGCTTATTACATTAACTTATCCCCTTCGGGCCGGGTGCGGACAGATGCAAATGCCTCGTTGGTGAAAAAAGAACCCTCGGACGTGCCAGGAGAACGAGCCAAATAACTGATGGGACATCTCTGATCTCCGTCGATAATATCTTTTTGTGTTCACACTTATGTTTACATTTTTGTTGAATAACTATGGGCATAGGTCATTGGTGGAGGACATTGTGTCATGGAGTAACCGGTGGAAGAGATTAAGAGGTTGTGTCCTCACTCCTGACAATTAAATGAATGTTGATTTTCCTGGAAGCCTGATTTTCTTTGAAACCATACCAGGGGCGGACTGACCATTTGGAAACTCGGGCACTGCCCGAGGGCCCGGGGTCAGTAGGGGGCCCCATGAGATGCCCCTGGCACCTTTTTCATAGGCTTTTTTGAGTTTGGGCAAGGACACAGGGGCCCCATGATCCCCTATTGCCCGGGGGCCCCATGAGTTGTCAGTCCACCCCTGAACCATACACAGTTTGGCTATGCAAGTGGCTTTCCTTGCCTTTAGTCTGCTTTGTAGCCATTCATTTGAGATAGACTTGATAGCTATCTGCCGTCGAAAAAAAGGGGTTCTGTTGGCTCCTAGGCTTTGTTGTTGACTTTTCATGTCCAGGAAGCAACTGTCTTTTGCTAGAGGCCTCAGGGCCTGTGTTGGAGGATTTCATCTCACCTCTGTTCTGGTGGCATCTGTAAAATTTTTTACAGATCCCATTTTTTACAGATCCCACTTCCCATCACTTCCTATGGTGGAGATTCTCAAAAGTTTTGGCTAGAGATACACCTTTATTTATTTATTTCATTGGTTTTATATAAAGCAGACTAATTCTTCAGCACTTTACAGAGGGCACATCATTTCTTCTCCATCTACTGAAGTGAGGGAGTAAGGGGTCGTTTCTTCCAAAAGCCCTTATCAAAATCACCTGGATTTGGATTAAAAGGTGTTAGAAATTCTCTATATAGCCTTACAAAAAAACCCACGTGCTTTTCTGCTTCAATGCAACAAGGAAACAGGAAACTATATTCAGAAAAAAGATATAGAGTATACCATAGATGCAGTTACAAACGTATAAGCACTGCCACCTGCTGGTTGATGAATATATCTCTACTGAACGCTGAAGTAGTTGTTGCAAAATACATGAACACTGTGGGGTTTATTCACTGGACAATGCAAAATCAGGCTCACTTCTGCATAGAAGCCAATCAGCTGCATTCACAATATATACAGTCTCCCTGGACCTGCATTCAGTATATCCGCCCCCCGGACCCTGCATTCGCTATATCCGCTCTCCCCCGTCCCTGCATTCACTCTCTCCCCGGACCCTGCCTTCGCATATATCTGGTCTCCCTGGACCCTGCATTCACTATATCCTCTCCCAGGACCCTGCATCGCCCGGTCTCCCCGGACCCTGCATTCACTATATCCGCTCTCCCAGGACCTTGCATTCTCCCCGGACCCTGCATTCACTATATCCGCTCTCCCCCGGACCCTGCATTTACTATATCTGGTCTCCCCGAACCCTGCATTCACTATATCCGCTCTCCCCGGACCCTGCATTCACTATATCCGCTCTCCCGGACCCTGCATTCACTATATCTGGTCTCCCTGGACCCTGCATTCACTATATCTGCTCTCCCCGCATTCCTCTCCCCGAACCCTGCATTCACTATATCTGGTCTCCCCGGACCCTGCATTCACTATATCTGGTCTCCCCGGACCCTGAATTCACTATATCCGGTCTCCCCGGACCCTGCATTCGCTATATTCGATCTCCCTGGACCCTGCATTCACTATATCTGGTCTCCCTGGACCCTGCATTCACTATATCCGCTCTCCCCGGACCCTGCATTCAGTATATCCGCTCTCCCCAGACCCTGCATTCACTATATCCGGTCTCCCCGTGCCCTGCATTCACTATATTTGGTCTCCCTGGGCCGTGCATTCATTATATCTGGTCTCCCACAGTACACAGAATATTGAAATACAATTACTTTTTAGTAAATATAAACTGCTAAATACCTTTTCTCTTCAACAGTTTCTCTTCAACAGCAATCTGGTGATTTCTATCAGTGTCCAGTTGAGCACTGGTTAAAGCTTGTAGGAGTTTTAATTTTCCTCTGGCTGTCCTATTAGGCTGCAGGACCCCTGACCCTTTGTCTGGACAGTTCTGATTGGCCTTGTGCTGATCCCATGCGCCCTCCGAAAGTAAAAAAAAAAAAATGCTCCAGCAATACACACTAAACTGAGCATGTGCAGAGTGTCTCCTAGAGCTCTCTACTATCAGCAGATGGATTGGGGACAGTTGATGAAGGGAAGGGTCAGAGAAGACAGGATCAAACATCCTTTTTACACAATGCAAAGAATTAACCCCTTAGGTTCCACAGTGAGTATAACCAGCATGCTTTGCTGCATCTACAGACTGATTGTACTGTTGTGGGTTTAGTAACACTTTAAGCTTTGGCAATAAAACCTGGACACTGATTGGTTTCTATGCAGAAGTGAGCCTGATTTTGCATTCTCCAGTTTTAGTAAATCAACCCCTGTATTCCAACAAAAGGAAAGTCAACTTCTGGGCTGCAAGATGAGACAAGCATATGGAACTATGGGGGTGTACCCGAGAAGCCGTCTGGGGTAGGGCTTATCAACGATATCTCAATTAGGAGGGTGTCCACCTGATTCAGATGATGTACCTACCCTCCCTCTTTTCTCCATACCTACCATCCAGAGTATATGATACCTAAAAAGTGCTATACAAACAAATGAATCTATTAATGTACCACACATAAAACATACTCAATGCCATAGTGAAAGCTCAAAAAGTGTGACCACATAAAGAAAAGTTGTGAATATCGATCAAATCCTTAGATCTGTAGAACATTCCTCCACATTTCCTCTACGTCTGGAGGAAAAGAAATTTAATCTCCAAACACGGAAAGGTTTCTTCACAGTAAGAGCTGTGAAAATGTGGAATGGGGGGGGGATATGATCTCCATGTATAATGCATAAGGGGGGGGATATGATCTCCATGTATAATACATAAGGGGGGATATGATCTCCATGTATAATACATAAGGGGGGATATGATCTCCATGTATAATACATAAGGGGGATATGATCTCCATGTATAATACATAAGGGGGGATATGATCTCCATGTATAATACATAAGGGGGGATATGATCTCCATGTATAATACATAAGGGGGGGATATGATCACCATGTATAATACATAAGGGGGATATGATCACCATGTATAATACATAAGGGAGGATATGATCACCATGTATAATACATAAGGGGGGATATGATCTCCATGTATAATACATAAGGGGGGATATGATCTCCATGTATAATACATAAGGGGGGATATGATCTCCATGTATAATACATAAGGGGGGATATGATCTCCATGTATAATACATAAGGGGGATATGATCTCCATGTATAATACATAAAGGGGGGATATGATTAACATGTATAATACATAAGGGGGGATATGATCTCCATGTATAATACATAAGGGGGATATGATCTCCATGTATAATACATAAGGGGAGGATATGATCTCCATGTATAATACATAAGGGGGATATGATCTCGCCCTATAAAATATCATGTATAATACATAAGGGGGATATGATCTCCATGTATAATACATAAGGGGGGATATGATCACCATGTATAATACATAAGGGGGGGATATGATCTCCATGTATAATGCATAAGGGGGGATATGATCATCATGTATAATACATAAGGGGGGATATGATCTCCATGTATAATACGTAAGGGGGATATGATCTCCATGATAATACATAAGGGGGGATATGATCTCCATGTATAATACATAAGGGGGGATATGATCTCCATGTATAATACATAAGGAGGGATATGATCTCCATGTATAATACATAAGGGGGGATATGATCTCCATGTATAATACATAAGGGGGGGTATGATCTCCATGTATAATACATAAGGGGGGATATGATCTCCATGTATAAATACATCAGTGGTTCATATAGTGAACTCGGTGTAGAGTTATTCCCCCTGAGGTCATCACAGAGTACAAGGGGGCGCTCTTTACATCTGGAGGAAAAGAAATTTGATCTCCAAACACGGAAAGGTTTCTTCACAGTAAGAGCTGTGAAAATGTGGAATAGACTCCCTCAAGAGTTGGTTGTGGCCAGCTCAGTGGATTGCTGTAGGAAAGTCCTGGATTGTTTCTTAGATACACAGAATATAACTGAATATAACATTTATAGGTAAAGTTGATCCAGGGAATATCTGATTGTCTCTCGGATCAGGAAAGAGTTATTTTCCTTGCAGGACAAATTGGATCGTGCTTTTCTGGTTTTTTTTGCCTTCCTCTGGATCAGCTGTGGGTGTAGGATTATAACTTTTTTTAAAATGTATTTAATGCTTGAACTGGATGGACTTTTGTCTTTTTTCAGCCAGACTAACTATGTAACTATGATATGAATAACCTCAATTCATGTGCTTGAAGTACAGTGTCCACAAATATATGTAATATACATGGTCAAAATATATACGTGCTGCACCACCGTGTGCAACACACCTGTCAATGCTGCCGCTTACCTCCACTTATTGACCCACGCTCGAGGTAAGGTCAGTATGAGCTTTCGGAATGTTATGGGTTATGATCCTTCCACTTTTCACCAAATACCATCACCGACCATCCTGCAAGCAGCTCAGTAATTCAAATAGCAACCAATTCAGTAAAGATAAAGGGAATAGAAGATCTCTCATAATGTAGTATCGCAAAGGATATAGATTTATTAGCCAAGAGACAGAATAATACAAACATAGTGCACTATACGCGTGCCCTGGAATAATCACCTGCTTCATTCATTTGCAAAAATACTTATTTCTAAACAGCTTGCAAAAAAAAACAGTTAAAAACTAATTCAAAGAACAGTACAATAGATCGCAAAGTCACAACAAGGCAAATAATCATACTCGCTACATAGCTGGACCAACACATTCACTATTCCTCCTACTGACAACGATGGGGTATTGTTCCTGTCACTGACACCAATGATGGGACACTATTCCTTCCACTGACACCAATGATGGGGCACTATTTCTCCCACTGATACCAATGATGGGGCACTATTCCTCCCACTGACACCAATGATGGGGCACTATTCCTCCCACTAATACCAATGATGGGGCACTATTCCTCCCACTGATACCAATGATGGGGCACTATTCCTCCCACTGATACCAATGATGGGACACTATTCCTCCCACTGATACCAATGATGGGGCACTATTCCTCCCACTGATACCAATGATGGGACACTATTCCTCCCACTGATATGAATGATGGGACACTATTCCTCCCACTGACACCAATGATGGGTCACTATTCCTTTCACTGATACCAATGATGGGACACTATTCCTCCCACTGATTCCAATGATGGGGCACTATTCCTCCCACTGACACCAATGATGGGGGCACTATTCCTCCCACTGACACCAATGATGGGGCACTATTCCTCCCACTGATTCCAATGATGGGGCACTACTCCTCCCACTGATTCCAATGATGGGACACTATTCCTCCCACTGATTCCAATGATGGGGCACTATTCCTCCCACTGACACCAATGATGGGGCACTATTCCTCCCACTGATTCCAATGATGGGGCACTATTCCTCCCACTGATTCCAATGATGGGACACTATTCCTCCCACTGATACCAATGATGGGACACTATTCCTCCCACTGATTCCAATGATGGGGCACTATTCCTCCCACTGATTCCAATGATGGGGCACTATTCCTCCCACTGATTCCAATGATGGGGCACTATTCCTCCCACTGATTCCAATGATGGGGCACTATTCCTCCCACTGACACCAATGATGGGGCACTATTCCTCCCACTGATTCCAATGATGGGGCACTATTCCTCCCACTGATTCCAATGATGGGACACTATTCCTCCCACTGATTCCAATGATGGGACACTATTCCTCCCACTGATTCCAATGATGGGGCACTATTCCTCCCACTAATACCAATGATGGGGCACTATTCCTCCCACTGACACCAATGATGGGGCACTATTCCTCCCACTGATTCCAATGATGGGGCACTATTCCTCCCACTGATTCCAATGATGGGACATTATTCCTCCCACTGATTCCAATGATGGGGCACTATTCCTCCCACTAATACCAATGATGGGGCACTATTACTGTCCATAATACCAATCATGGCACAGAATTTATTTCCACATTTTCTTCTCCCACTGGTCGCAGGGTGGTCCCCCTAAATTTTGAAAGACCGTAAACTGGCCTTTTGCTTAGAAATTTTCCTTTCATATAGGAAAACAACGGGAAGAGAAGCCCATATACCGTGCAATTTATGACCAGTGCCTTCCCATCATTGGTATTCTACAGGTTGGAACAAAATCCAGTTCTCTTTATTTATTTTCAATATATTTCTATGCACACAGAGGAGGAGCATTGTTTCCATCAGAGATGTCTGGAATAGAGGGAGCTTGATAGATTAATCTTTCAGCTTCTTTTAGTTTTACTGGAAATCGGAGATATTGTAATTCCTCTTTTGCTCTCTCTGCAGGCTCCACATAGGGAATATAATCTACGGCCTCATAAATCTATCAGGCAGTGAGTAGTAATACGCTCATTTATTTCTGTAAGTATTCTGCAACATACAGCTTAACAGTTTCCATTTAGAAAACAGCTGTAAACTTGCTGCTACTGTAAAGCAGAACTCCAGGCAGATGTAGAAGAGACAAAAGGATGGAGCTCTG